TAAGAAGTATAACTTCAAAAAGAAATTATGTTATGAGTTGAAGAAAAAAGGATGTCTACGAGTAAGTTGAAAGCCACAGGGTGGCTGCTCCGATTAATCGCACACGACCAACACCACCGAGATAGGGATCCCCTATCTCGGTGGTGGTAATTTTTCTTTAAATTAATTTTCCCCTTTACCCCGTCCCGCTTCATACCTGAGACATGATGGGGTAATTGATGAAATATTCTTTTTTAAATAAAAAAATATTCATATTATTTTCAAATAAAATTTCAATATTTTTTACTTAAAGAGTACTACATCATTTCGATATTTTTCTGATATTTGATTTTCTTTTTGTAATATTTTATGTAATAAGAAAGAAAAAAACAATAGTATTGCTTTTTTTTTGTTGAAAATATCATTCTATTTTTAAAAATACAGAATTGTTCGTAGAAACATTTTCAGATGTTCTAATGAAGTAGCATTTTGAAAACATATTTTGAACCTTTCTCCGTATTCCCCAATAATGTCTGATTAATGTATAGACAGTGATTAAATAATGAAAATTTTTTTCTTTTAAAATTTCAGTTCCATAATTATTTTAAATAATTCATTAATTTATTTATTTTGAAATATATGTAGAGGTATTTCTTTCAAATTTTACTTAAAAACTTTCATTTTCCATTGCATCTTTTTCTCTGAGAAAAGTAAAATAAACGAACAATATAATGGAATTAAGCATATTCATACTAAAATAAATTCTATATTTAAAAATTAAACAAAAAAAGTGGTCTAAGGAATAATCTAAGGAGGAAAAATTACAAAAGAAAAGAGATTATAGGAATTCTAATTTGCGTGCAAAATTTTCTTCATTGGTGTATAATGTTAACAAACCAGTGTCACTTCTACCAGTTCATTCTGAACAGCCTTACATTTTTGCACAGTAAAATTATGGAAACATTTGTGACTCACCGACACCGAATATGTTGGGCAATTCTGGTCTTTGCTTCCCGTTTTCAGGAATGAAGCGAGTTGGGTCGAACTTTTCAGGATTTTCATAAATGTTCGGATCATGATGGCAAGACCACACATTCATAAGCGTCATAGCTCCCTTCGGAATCTTATAACCACGCACTGTTGTCTCTTCTACAAACAGAGGAGAGAAAATAATTGCTTTTTTAGTTGATTTGAAGTATAGCAATCATACAGCGCATCAAAATCAACTTTCTTATACACTTTGGAAATAGAATAGGCTTCATTCGANAGAATAGGCTTCATTCGATTTCCCTACTCTCTACATTTTTACCTCCTCCGCTCCCATGGTTTCGACAAATTGAGATTTTTTTTCCTTCAACGGCAATACGTTTCATTAAGAAGTTGAACTATACTAATAATATAGCAATATGTGCCGCAATCATGGTAACGGAGAGTGGGGAGGCGCTTCGTCGATAGCTTTTATTATATTAGTGAGTTTATACCTTTTCTAGTTGTCAGTTTAGTCGTGATGGCTCAGAGCATTCGTCTTCCAATCAGGTGATTCGAATCCCAAGGATAACTAGTCGATACGAATTTCGCATCCGGCTGCACCGTACTGATGTGAAATATCATCAGTGATAGACGCATCATGAGTTAGAGTCCCTTGCCGTGAGAGGTTTTCGTGCGTTTTTCTTCTCCATGTAGCGCAAATGCGGGTTAGTTCCATCAAAAAGACCTCCGCGAGGGCAAATTTCTTACAAAGCTTTATTTAGGAGTTTCTTTGTCTCCTGGACTGGGTTCAAAACTACAAGGTCTACGGAGTTGAACCTTAGCAGTCGTAAACCCAAAAATTTGGGTCGGCTGCGCAAGGACGGTTTTAATAGTTGCCGGCTTGCTTGAGGGTAAAGCTGTCATAAGTAAGTAATTTTCAATTGATGTTCAAATTTATTTCTAACAAACTTATTCAGTAATTGATTTTCTAACGAGTTAGCATTAACTTCATACAAAATAGGTTAAAAACTGCTGATTCTCGTTCTCTCACATTTTTAGCGAAACTCAAGGAATAAAACACACTATGCGATAGATATATTCATATTATCCTGAAATATGAATAAATATCTTGATCTCAACACTAATTATTTAGATCATCGTATTGCAAAGCTTATTAGAAAAAAACTTTGAAAAAGTCTAGCTTTGTTGTGCATTTAGTGAAATTTTTTTCAGTCGGAAACTTGAAAGAATCAAGCTCGAGGCCAACGGCTCTTCACTTTCGTAACGATAATGCATCTTTAAAGAGAATACAAAATATTTAATTACTTATTTTACGTAAATTTGCATTCTAGTCACTAGAAAGTACCCCCTTAATGTCACTATTTACTAAATGTATGGAAAATGGCACCTCCATATGTTTTGTCCCAGCAAAGTTGTGTTATTAAAACCGGTATGGTAATTCCAAAGGGATTATTTCCCCGAGAAGGAAAACTTTTACAAATATTAGTGATCGCTAATTTAAATCAAATATTTCTGAAGTTATAATAACATAATTTAAATTTGAGTTTAATACTTAAAATAATCTGGAAGTGCCAATTATGATGGGTACTCATCACTTTTTAAGCAATTCGGTTTGCTAAATATTTACATCACGGTTAAAAGAAATTATGGTTGATTTATGTTTGTTTTAGAAAAAATAAATTGTGGCTCTTTTTCTTTTATAGTTCTCGAGAAGAATGAAGAGGCAACTAAGAAATATGCATTTCCTCTACTGCTGAATGAAACAACATTCTTGATGTACTGAACGAATAAACCTTTTTTTTTCTTTAGATAAAACAAATATTTTTTTACCTCTTTGGATTAAACAAATAGTTATTAGGATTGACCAAATATTTGTTTATTTATATGGATTGAAGGAATATTTATTTACTATACTTTAAATTTTACTATATACTTCACTTTTTTATTTATGCTTCACACTTTACTTTATACTTCACGCTTTTACGTTACTTCCTATTTTACGCTTTACTTTCTATTATATTTTAGTCTTTACTCTACTTAATACTTTTTAAAAGAATCGTTCCCATGTATGCTAATAAAATAACTAATAAAGCGTAGAAAAACATTCTCTTAAAATATAATGTGGTGATAAAAGGTAGAAAATTATGAAAGAGCGATAAATTTGGAAATCTTCAACTCACTTCGGTTCTTTACCAAAATAAGCTTCGAATCAGTAATTTTTAGATAAATAGAGATTAGTGGTATTACTCACTGATGCATTGCTGACTGGGAAATGCGGTGCCGAACTCGGAAGTGCGAATAATTTCCATGATGAAAGCATTGGTGTAGGTCATCCTGCTTTTGTCCT